GATTTGACCTAGCCTTGGTAGAAATATAAGTAGAAAAGCCAGATATTACTGTTAAAAGATACCAGCCCAGACAACACACCTTCTACATCCTGAGAGTTGCAGAGGTGGCTATGGTCATGCAGACAGACTCCTAAAAATGCACTTGCAATGCCCACATATATTCTATGGGTGAAACTAAAATGGAATAACTATTCAAATATTTTTTGTCCACCTTATTCTGTCCTTAGATTGATGGTCAAGTGAGCAGGCGACTCTGCTCCCAGACTCAAAAGTTCGTCGAATAAAACCTTGCGTCCCATCTACAAACTCCTAGAATCATTCCACCGAACCAAATCCTCGAACATGAGTTCTGTATATTTAGCGAACTGGAAATTTTACTAGTCTTATGTGATATTTGAAAAAGTGGATCATTAGGGAAAGCTGAATGCTAATCAGCATACTGGCATGGTCAACTGCGAAGAGGTAACATGTTGAGTGATTTTCTGGCTCATTCCTCGCCTGTGATTATAAATGACAGTTCGACATCACCCTAAGAACAAAAATAAGTCTTGATGAATTTCTGAGCCCATATGGCTTCTTAAACTGCAGAATCAGGCAACTTAGATTCCTTCTAATTCTGCCCTCAAGGTGCTAGAATTGGATGCAGAGTATTGAATTCTTACTACTTGCAAAGTCTTTTCAAAAAGCGAACTAACTCACGTTAATGGTTGGTAATTTTGGTTTTTTCCCTGCTCAATCTGTTCTTGAACACCGCACTTTTACGTCACTCCTTTTTTTATCTTCCTAGCCAAGATGGATCTCAAGCCCCTATTTGGTTGGATATAACAACTAGACCAAAAAGGCTTATTTGCAACGTGGTAGCGGCCGTTACTGTTTACACATCGTGAAGGAATAGGCTGGAATATTTAGGCAGGCCCTTACTTGTTAAACCCTGAGGGCCTTCTCCCTTTAATAAGATCTGCATTTTTAGTCTGGATATAATTCACTGGTACGGGTGGTTCTGTGGTCTTCTGGTGATGAGCGAACCTACAAAATCAGTGGCTAGCAGTCCGGCGATACTCGGGATTGAGTTAAACTAATATAGCCCTTGTTATTGAGCCTTAGATGTACCGCCGGTTTTTACTGATCTTGAGAAGACAAAGGAGAACTGGTCCATTTGCAGGAACTGGAGCTGACTTCATTTGCATCGCATGAAGTTTCAATACATTCGTTATCGTGACCAGCTGTGGATTGCCAATGACAGCAAGTAAGTCTTAGTTGCCACTAGTTTTGCCATGGCATGCAGTAAACCTCAAGGATAACTGCTGAGCACAGTGATCTTACTTGGAGCACTCAGCGAACAATTTCGAAATGACAGGTTTGGGGGAAACTTAAGGCATTATGCCCACAGTAATGGAAACGAATGGATTAAGGAAACTGAAGGAATAGATTTTTCGAGTGTAAAGGAGGTGAATTTTTGATGGATGTGATAATGGGCAAGTTCCTATCGGGAACCACAGTATATGTGCGACGGTGGCGTTTAGGTAGGGCTGTAATAGAAGTGAAGGAAACGTATAGCGCTACGAAAAAATATCGCAGAGAAGTAAAAAATTGACTTTCGAATGAAGTATGAACCCTCGGTCTTCGATAGCCAAAGTTTGGGGCTCAGTTTGATGGCCGACTGCTTTTAAATTTGTGTCTTATAGCCGGGAAACAACTGCGATTGTCCCGTCTGAGTCCTCAAAGGGTCCAAGTGATGTGGATAAGCCTGCTTCCTTCAGGTTTTTGCCGATATTTTTGCTTTTTGTAGGCCTCTTGCATGTTTCGTAAGTTATGTCAGAAGAGTTAGTGCACTTGTGATGAATTTGACGTCTGCAATCCGTGCGTATTACTTGATTTTGTGGCTGCATTATTGTTCCATTTCCATGCTTAATAGTTTTAAGGCGGGGTTTTTATGCTCAAAAACGTTTTCCTGCCCAAAATGCTGCCTCTTGCCGAGTAACCATTGTTTGCCGCAAGCCAAATGGTGCACAATACTTGCCGTATCGTGGAAGACTGAAAATCTGGGAAATGCGGTACGTAGTGAGTCGTATTAGCGTGCATCTTTCTCGCTTGCACACCACTAGCCAAGGGCCAGACAGCAAAGATGCTACGGTACCAGTTACCGTGGATGTCAGCCGTGTATTCGATGGTATGAATCCCACTTGTCGGTATTCAGCTTGAGTTCAGATGGCCGATGCAATACAAAAGCTTCATAAAATATGTGCCCCACTGTTTATGAGACTCTTGTAGTGCATATGAATGCATTAAATAGCTACGAAGTGCCGAAGGAATCATTTGGTCCTGAACTTACGACATTACTTGGTTACTGTAAGCTGTATGTATGGATGTAACAGAAACTCCAGAGCACGATGATTAGCTTTTCATTTTCTTAGTTGCAAATATATAGGTTGTTAATTTAGTTTTCGCTTCCATTACAGTTGTGTTGGGCTTGTTATGAGTGTAGCGTCATACACTTCCCCAAAATCAATAGCCTAGGGTTTGACGACTTCGACATTGATGCTGACCTTGATAGTTTAACTGGACTCGCTAAGCTGAAGGCATCCGGTCAAGCATCCTCGCCATTTGGCACGCTGTCGTGTTACGTTGCATTGCTCGTATTCGACTCTCTAGCCAGTTAGTTGGAACGCATCGGTATTTTGGCATAACCATCCAAATATACTATTCCATCCGACTACGCTATCGTGTTCTTCCTTGGTCTCGTATTCGTGGGTATATAACAAGTTCGAATAATTAGTGATTGGTCTTTGCGTCTGTCAAGTTCGCACCAGGACAAATCCTAAATTGGTGAGCCCGACGTGATCACATATCCCGACCAATAGCAAGTATTGAATTGGTGAGCCTGTTCCATTTTATATTTGTTTATTGTTTTCATTTCGATAACATTTATATATCCATTTACTACACTTTCTCATGTCCGACCACACTCCCAAGCTTATTCGTATTAAGCCGACTCGAACACGATCCAACTCGTGCCATATTGGCCAGACAATGCAGAAACATGGTTTCTGTATGCCGAGGCCGATTTTCGAGAACAGGGTGTCTCAGATCCTCATTCTCGATTTCTTGCTGTCATACGTTCACTACCGCGAGAATTAAACAGGTATGTTACAGCAAACATGTTTAATCCTGAAGTAAGTGACCCTTATGCACTTCTAAAGGCCGCACTCTTGAAGAAAAGCGATCTCACAGATCGCCAACGTCTAGACGAATTGTTTCGTAACATCGAGCTAGGCAGCCACTCAGCTACTGAAGTCCTCGCACGCATGCGAGAAGTAATCGGTGCACGAACATTTGACGATGGTTTCTTCCGAGAACTATTTCTCTCGAAACTACCACAACCGGTGCAAACCGTGTTGGTGACACTCCAGTCAGTCCCACTCGACGACCTGGCAGCTTCAGCAGATAAAATACTGGAGATATCCAGCAGACCCGTCTCCAACGTATATTCTATCTGTGACAAAACAGAGCGCCAGGATTCGGAGGTGACCAAGTTGTGCAACTCTGTGAAACGGTTGCTACGATCTCGAAGTCCTAGATCACGTAGCACTTCACAGAAACGCACCTTGGCGCATCGCAGCAAGTCGCGTGGTAGCCCTAAAACGAAACCCAACAGGGTGGAAAACCCTGAATGGTGCTGGTTTCATAACACTTACGGGGATGAAGCCAGAAAATGTCGTAAACCATGCCGTTTTAAGAAGGACCCGAACTCGGGAAACGGTCACGCCGGCACGTGCTCACGGCAACCGTAGCCGGCGGAAAAAGCCGTTTGCTCTACGTCACCGACATTAAAACGAAAGTCCGCTACCTCGTCGACACCGGCGCAGAAGTTAGCGTTCTTCCAGCAACGACAAAGGAGCGTCATCTCGACCCATCCTTCAATCTTCAAGCAGCCAACGGCAAGGCAATCGCGACATTCGGGAGACGGTATGCCTACCTCAACTTAGGTTTACGCAAACCTATTCACTGGATTTTCCTCCTGGCAGACGTCTCTATGCCCATCATTGGCATAGATTTGCTGAACCATTACGATCTACTCGTAGATGCTCGCCGTCGACGACTGATAGATAACAACACAAAGTTATCTATTGGCGGCACCACCTATGTAGGTCCGAGTTTAGCCATCGTTAGGACTAAACAATCAGGCGACGCGTCC